ATGGCTGGCTGGGGAATTCTGGGAGTTGAAGTCCACACGTCTTAAAGTGGCCAAGATTGAGAAACACTGGAGTAGAGCATAGTATATAGGTAATATTAATAGTATGGAGTATAGAGGAAACACAGTAATTGAATAGTAATAGTATATACATAATAGCAATAGAACAGAATATAGGATAAAGGTAACAAGAACCACTCGCATACAGATTTGTAAGTAGATTTGGGGAATTCTGGGAGTTGAAGTCCATGCCTCTTAAAGTTGCCAAGGTTGTGACGCGCTGACCTAGAACCGCATTTGGACTTCTAGCCCCAGATAAGATAAAATCTCCCTTAAACTCCCTTGAAAACCTGTCCAAACTCTTGGACAGACGAAGTTCCATCCAGTTGCTCTGGGGCCTTTATTTTTTTGTTTAATGCCACATCCTATGAGAAATCCTAACCCAACATTGCCTCAAATGACCCATCCCTCAAGTCCGGAATGCACCGCCCGGGGAATGTTGCTAATAACCCGCCAGTAAAAGTGTCTGTTGTTTTGGAAGCCGAGCAAGACGTTTCAGCGGACGAGGACGCGCCGAGCGCTTTCCGCGAGTCCCCCACCCCGGGCCCCCACCCAGCTCCCAAACGGGTCCGCAGAAGTGGGCCAGCACTGAGGACCACCCCCCAGCCGCGTGACTTCCCCATTAAAGGAAGGCAGAAGTTCCACCGGTCAAGCCTTTTCTGGCAAAGGCAGGTCTCGAGTTTCCACGTTGGTTAAAGACGCCGACGCCTTGCAAAGGAAGTTTGGAGTTGTGCCCCGAAGCCCTGAAGTCACTCCCAAACGCAAGCCAAGTCCGCGCCCCCTCCTTACCCCGCTGAAGGTCAGAAAGCCTCCGCCCCAAAACTCATCTGGCCCCCCTCCCTCTCTCCCCTATAGAGGGCACGGAGGGCACCGAGGACTCCCCGCGATCTACCCCAGCCGCTCACTCCCGCTGGAGACCCGCAGGCACGCGTCCCCAGCGCCGGGAAAGCCCCCCCCGAAAAGCCCCCCCTTGCGGTTCACAGCTTCGGGATCCGCGTCCCCACTTGCGCGCTTTCCGGGAGCTTCCCAACTTCTGCCAACCGCAGCTTCCCGCTCGGCAGCGGCGGGGACTCGCGCTTGCCTTCCTTCCGCTCCACCCCGTAAGTGGTCCAGGCGCTTGCTCAGCCTGGGCAGGGGACGGCAGGGGGCTGCCCCTCTCCCAGACTCTGGCATTTGCGCTCGGGGCGTCCTCACCCCAAATCCCGCCGCCCCCCCGAGACTTACTCCCCCGCGAAGGACGCCCGGACTCTGAGCGATCTCGGCGAGTATCTCCCCGCAACGAATCCGCGCCTCCGACGCAACCCCCGCGCGCCTGGCC